GACAACCCTGAATGAACCATGGCCTGAAGGGCAAACAGGGTCATCAGATCACCGGGGCAGCGCGTGGACACAGGGACAGGCACAGAGGGGAGGAGGGATATGCCATGTATGGCGTGTACAGTTCTCACCTGAGGAAAGTCACTGCTCTTTGGTAGGAAGCTGGAGGTGGTGGCTGCAGAAGCATAGCTGGTGTCTGGGCAGGGCTGGCCACCCAGGAAGGTGGAGTTCATGAACTGGCTGGGGGAAGAAATGAGGAAGGTGAGCACTGGGCTGGACCAGGGCTCCTTCCTGTACCCCTTGAGGAAGGGAGCTCGGCAAGGCAGCAGCTCTGAGGCCCTGCACGCACAGTCCTCACCTTCTAGCTCCAGCTAGCATCAGTGGAGCCAAGCCAGCTGTTGGGGGCAGGTAGCCACAGATGCTACCCTGTCCCATCATGGCCCCTCTGACCTGTCCCCATAAATGGGAGAGTGTCCAAGGACCATACCCTAGGGCTTTCTCCCAATCCCACTGGACATAGCTGAGCCTTGCCTAAGCAATGGCTGCTTTGTATGCAGGGGATATCTCCCAAAAGTCAGCTCATTGGCCTATGGTGCCTAGGCCCAGGGCCCAAGCCCTGGAGGTAACCTGGAACCGGTGCAGCCCGTCTCTCCTATCCAGCCCCTCGACCTCCAACATAGGGCACAGTGTGAGACAGGGGCCCCTCCTCTAAGGCTGGGGCCCAGTCCCAGTTCACCCAAGGCTTGCTCTACATGCTGAGGATCAGCAAGGACACAGTGAAGAGAGGGGTATAGTAGGGTCAAAGACAACAAGGCCAACCAGATGAACCAGGCTGAGGACTAGGAGGAGGCTGACAGTAAGAAAAGTGCCCTCTGGAGACTTCTCTGCTCTGAGCTCTGGAGCTCTCTGGCTCATGAGGCAGTGAGTCAGTGGCTTTACCCAGGGCCCCTGCCCCTGACCTGTGAAAGGTCTGCAAAAACTAATAATAAAAGAAGCACCGCCCCTCCTTTACTGTCCCAGCCCCACCCCCTAGGACAGCCTCTTCAAAACCATCTAGAATCCCTGTGAGGCTCTGGCTGCTCATGCTTCCAATCACAGGCTGCTTTGTTGGCCTGGGAAGTCTCTGCTAGGCCTGTTCCTCCTGGAAAAGTACTGCTAATTCTTCAAAACCCAGCTCAGCCATTGCCATCTGTGGGAAAGAACTCCTTTCAGCCTGGAGTTCTATACCGGTGCTGTACTTCATCCCTCCCTGGCCCCTTTTTCTTAGCCCTTTCCCAGGCTGATTCTGCTGAATACAGAACCCATCTGGTCCCAACACAGGGTTAGAGAAAACACAGCCTCAATAGTCCCTGAGTCCAGAGCCCTGCTGAAACAAGGCTAGAACTATATGGGGTCCATACCCCCTAGGGGGATGCTATGAACACTCAGGGATTCGAGCTTTAATTTTGCTGTAACTCTAGAAGTATGGGGCCCAAAGGGAGGCAGGGTGAGACTTACGGGCTCTCAGAGAAGGCTGGATACGGCGCCTGGGAGAAGCTGCTCCACCAGGGACAGTGCAGGAGGGCATTCTGTAACACAAAAAGGGTCAGAGTCAGGTGGGTGAGCAGGCAGGGCCTCAATCACCCAGGTGCTGCCATGGGCCAGCACTCAATAGGTCTTGAGTGAGGGCTCTATAAGTCAGCTGGGGCTTCCCTGCTGGGTTGCCTGGAGTCACTTAACCTTTCAGTGCCTGTTTCCCCGTCAGCAGGAGAGAAGCCCCACAAAGGTTCCAGTGAAGGCAGAAGGTGGTGAACAATACCCATGAGCTCTAGTGCTCACCCAGCAAGCTTCCCACATGCCAAGAGCAGAGCCTGGGGAATCTTCATTTCAAGCAGGACTATGGTATACTGGTGGCCTGTGGACCCAGTTTGGAAGTCCTTCATTCTAGATACTAGAGGAGGGGCTGGGGTGTAGCTTGGTGGTGAGCCCTTGCCTTGCCCTGGGTTCCATCCTTAGCACCAAAAAAAGAAAGAAAAAAGAAGGAAGGAAGGAAGTTGGGCACCAGTGGCTAACACCTGTAGTCCTAGCTACTCAGTAAGCAAAGATCAGGAGGACCAAAGTTCAAAGCCAGCCTGGGCAATTAGTGTGCAAAACACTATCTCAAAAAAAAAACCCATCACGAAAAAGGGCTGGTAGAGTGGCTTAAGATGTAGGCCCTGAGTTCAAACTCCAGTACCACAAAAAAAAAAAAAAAGAAAGAAAGGAAAGAAAGGAAGGAAAGGAAGGGAGGGAAAAGGAAGTAAAGGACAGGACCTTATTCAGGCACTGGTGGCTTATACCTGTAATCCTAGATACTCAGGAGGCAGAGATCAGGAGGACTACAGTTTGAAGGCAGCTCCAAGCAAATAGTTCGTAAGACCCTATCTCAAAAATATTCAACACAAAAAAGAGCTGGCAGAGTGGCTCAAGTGGTAAGAGTATCTACCTAGCAAGTGTGAGGCCCTGAAGTCAAACCCCAAGGTTGCCAAAAAATAAATAAATAAAAATAAAGCAGGACCTTGTAAGAGACTTCTGTGCCCTGCCCAGGGCCATACATGCACAGATTCCTGCATAATGGGCAGGCCTCAGCAGGGACCTTGCCCCAGAGCCAGCTGCACTAGGACTCCGGCTTCTTTCCAATGGCTATCAGGGAAGTCCCCACAGTCACTGGGTAAAGGATATAGGCTAGGACAAGACAGAGGCCATTGTCCTACTTAGCCCAGCTAGGCCTAGTCAGGCTAGTTATTTGGGGAGGGGCTACTCACTGACCTCTCTCAGGTTCCCCCTGGACACAACTCCAGGACTCAGCCACTTCTGCCCTTTCTGAATCTCATTATTGGAGAGATGGCTGGGCACTAACTCACAGCCAGAACTACCCCACTTGCACCCGCTTCAAGCAGGGTGGGAGCCATCAGGCCTAACCACTCACCACTGCCCGTCTGGCCTCAGGGAGAGGTCCTCGGCAGCCTCGACTGGTCAGACACAGGTGGAGGCCTGTGACTGGTCACTGCCCCTCACATTTACATATTTATGGGCCGTAAAGCATGATTATTAACATAGAGAGCAGGCAGAACCACGGGGTCTAGTACGGAATCCTCTTCAGAAACTTCCAGAAGGCAGCAGGGCCACTGATGCCTGGGTGGGGTCTTCCCAGAGCCCTGGTCTAATATCCTTCTCCTCCAGCCCTGTACCTGAGGAAGAAGAAAGACCAGCCCCAGAGAGGGACATGGACTTCCCAAAGCAGAACATTCTAAAGCAGATCTATGGTTCCAGAGTCCTTGGCCTCCTGGATGAACTAGTCACATGTCTTGGGGTGTATGGGCCAGGCCCGTCAAGGTGGTAGTAGGGACACTGAGGGTCCCCTGGCTTACTGAATTTGTTCCACCTGAGCCCAGGTTGGGCCAGATACTGCCTTCAAGGCACCCAGAGACACCCAAGCAAAGCAGGCTGAGAAGTCAGCCTGAAAGGTGGGAAAGTGAAGGTCAGCTATGGCTTTGTCTAACCAGCACCCCAACCTCCTCCTCCAGCCTGTGGTGATGTTAGGGGTTGCCAGTTAGGGGTACCCTAGTGTTTACATGGCAAGCAAATCAGATCGTTCCTTGGAACTTTCCACAGGCAGCCAGAGGGGTGAGGGTGACTCAGTCTCAAGAGGATAGACCCTAGCATGTGATTGGTCCAGAAATGGGAACCTGACCCCAACCAATCAGCCAATCAGAACCTGCCTAGGGACTGTCTACTGGAGTCAGAGGGTCTGCCCTCTCTTGTGCAGCAGGAAGGGTAGTTCAAGGGCCACATGGCCTGTGAAGTGCCATTCCAGACACCCTGCCACAGCCGAAGCTCAACACCAGGGAACCATTCTTCCAGAGGAACCCTGCAAAGTCAGGGTTCCACCAGGACCTTTCACATCAGGGACCAGCATCCCTGTCTTCACTCAGACTCCAGTTTCTAAGGCCTCAGGGTCAGGTTGGGGTTCTCATACCTACCCAGGCAGAGCTTGAGTTCTGTCATTGCTCAGCTTCCCTGGAATGTCACTGTGAAGGACAGGGCAGAGGCACATTCCTGCAGGAATGGCTCCATCCTTTGCACACCCTCCAGCCCTGGTTCTGACCCAGGAATTCTATTTCAGAAACACACCTCAGGGACTAATCCTTGAGGGGAAGAAACAAAACAGCTCTATTTACAGCAGTGGAAATTGGACTCTCCCCAAAGGCCCAGCAACAGGGAAATAATTGGCAGCTCATGGCTGTGCAGATGATGAGGGAGAATGAGGGGTGGCATGGGAAGGTGTCACCAGGGCTAGCAGGTGGAAGAGACCAGAGGAAGTCTGGGAGAGCTAGACACAGATTGTTTCGACCCCTGGCTGTGGATGCTAGATACCAGTCAGCATTTCAAAGCTGCGAGGGACACTCCAGTTGTAACCAGCTTTTGTTCCTCCATCCAGCAACTTCCTATTCCATGCTCCACCACAGGAGGGGAGGATATGGGTACATTTGGACCAAATGTGGACATGGGGTTAGCAATGCCCTTCCCAACCCTTCCTAGTATCCTCCAGTTGACCTTACTGTCCCCATGTTAAGCTCTGTGCGACTCTGGCAGCTATTACCCAGCTCTGTAGAAACCCAGGCTTGTTCTTGCTTTGTCTTCCTATCCAGACTCCCCTCCCCATACTTGTCCTGAATGGACAGGCATAAATCTCAGCCCATCCTGTCAGGAGGAGGAGGAGAAAGAGGAGTGAGGGAAGCAGCTGGTGCTTTACTAGAGAGCAGATTCCAGGTTGTCCCAGCCAGAGGTGCCTGCAGACTCTTCATTCCATGAGGCCCTGCAATGCACCTGGCTTAGGCGGCCTCCATAGCTGTGCATCCCACCTGCTCTCCTCATGGCCTCTGGCACCTCAAGTCTCTGCCAGGTCATTCAGTTTACTTCTTCCCCACTGCAGCAAGGCCTTGTTTTGGTTGTTGCTGTTTTCCTTCCTTCCTCCCTTCCTCTAGTTTTTTGCAAAGCTGGGGATAGAACCCAGGGCCTTGTCCATGCTAGGTAATCCTTTCACCATTGAGCTGCACCCCAGCTGAGAGCCTCAGTTTTGCCCAGGAAAGGATGATTCTGGGCTCTTCTCACAGAGTTTCTGGTGCTATCTGTGATATAAGACGACTAGGCCTGTACCTATGGGTGTTTTGCTACTATACTTTATTCACAGTCGTGAAAACTGGAGGTCAAGTGCAGCCGCACGCTTATAGTTCTAGCTACTCTGCAGAAAGAGTTTGTGGGGATCGTGGTTCAAGTCAGCAGGAGCAAAAAGTTCCCAAGACTCCATCTCAACCAATGAAAAGATGGGAATAGTGGCACACACCTATCATCCCAATTACCCGGAAAACTTAAATAGGAGAATCATGTAGTCCAGGCCTGCCAGGGCAAAAACTTGAGCCCCTATCTGAAAAATAAAGCAAAAAGGGCTGGGGGGCATGGTTCAAGTTGTAGAGTGCCTGCTTAGCAAGCACAAGGCCTTGAGTTCAAACCTCATTACCACCACCAAAAAAAAAAAAGTCCTTCAGTGGGTAAATGATAAATGCACAATGGTACAGCCAATGCTAAAAAGAAATGAGCTCCCAAGCCACAGAGACAGGGAGGAGCCTTAAATGAGTGTTATTAAGTGAAAGAAGCCAGTCTGAAGGGCTAAGTGCTATATGATTCTAACTGACATTCTGTCTTTTTTTTTTTTCTTTTTGGCAGCGCTGGGGTTTGAATTCAGGGTCTCTCAAACTTGCTAGGTAGGTGTTCTTACAACTTGAGCCACTCCCCCAGCCCTCCAACAGACACTCTGGAAAAGGCAAAACTATGAACACAACAAGAGATCATGGTTGTCAGAGGTAGGGAGATGAAAAGGGAGGGATGAATAAGTGGGTGGAGCATAGGGGACTTTTAGGGTGCTGAAACTCTTCTGTGGGTACTCCATTGGTGGACACATTTGTGAACTCCACAGAATATTCAACCCAGACAGTAGACCTTCAGGTAAACTTTGAACTTCACCTAATGAGAATGTATCGGTACGAGCCCATCAATTGTTACAAGCTCATTATAAGTTGTAACAAGCTCCCTAATACAGGCTGTTAGTAATATGGACATGGGTTGGATGGCAGGAATATATGGGAACTCTGCTTTCTGAGCAATTTTCCTGTAAACCAAAAACTGCTGAAGTAATATTCTATTAAACTGAAAAAGAGAAAAAAAAAAAAAGGTTTAAAAATCTCTGAGCTGGGTGTAGTGACACATACCTGTAATCCCAGCATTTGGGAGGTAGAGCTTGAGGCTAACCTGGGCAACAAAATGCGACCCTATCTCAAAAAAAAAAGAAAGAAAAAAAAAAATCCTCTCTGACTGACTTCTACAGGTCCACTTCAGTGGCCTATGGAAAGAAGTGCCCAGTGCTGAATGTCTCTCTCAAAGGGCGAAAAAACTTAATGGCTAACCAAGGAACTGGAAGCTGCCCAGCAGGGGGGGGGCTGAGTTAGCCCCAGAGGGGAGTTAGCAAAGTCAGGCTCTGGACTAAGAAAGTCAAGGTCAAGGTCATGGCCAGGTTCTAGTGATCAATGTCCAATGTAAATGCTAACTTAGTGAGAACATACATCAGAGTGTCCACCAAATCCGGCTCAGCAGAGTGAGGACATCAGGGATGGCCTAGGCTCACCTGTAGTGGGATGCTGCCTGCTGCTGGGAGTTCATGCTGAGGGTACTCCCCGTCCATGGTAGGTCCCACTGCGAGCATCGGGTGGCAGGCGGGAGTACGTATCCTTAGCCAGGTAGCAGGCAGGGGCTCTGTGACTTGGGTCACAGGAGCAGCTATCTGTTCTGTGGCGGCAGTGGTGACATCATGTCCTGCCAAGGGAGACATGGGTAAGATGAGGTTGTGTTGAAATTGTCCATGATGTTCAACCACCTCCCTTCCCTTCAAGACCTGCCAGGCCCAGCAGGAAAGGGACTTTGGCTGGACACTAGTGGTTCAGGCCTATAATCCTAGCTATTCAGAAGGCAGAGATCAAGAGGATCATGGTTCAAGGCCAGCCCAGGCAAATATATCTCGAGACCCTATCTCAAATATACCCAACATAAAACAGGGCTGGCAGAGTGGCTCAAGTGGTAGAGCACCTGCCTAGCAAGCTTGAGACCCCGAGTTCAAACTCCAGTACCATCAAAACAAAAAGCAAGCAAGAAAGAGACCTTGCTCACTGCTACAGATATAAAGGGCTCCTTCCCTCCCCACATGCCTTGCCTCACCCTGGCCATTATGCTTTCACAGTACCTTCCCCGGTCCTGGTCACACTCATTAACAATTAATGTGAACCCTGGGGCTGTCCCCACCACCCACAGCTGAAAGCAGCCAAGCCTCAGGCTGACCCAGTGACCACTGGTCTAAGGCTGTCCAGGGAGTGTCCAGCCCAGCCCAGCACCTCCAAGCTAGGATGTTCACCAGTCCTGCAGGCTGAGCCCCATCCCTCTGCAGCCACAGAGACTGTGCCAGTGTCTCCCAGGAACAGTCAGGGGCCAAGATGAACCAGGAAGAGATTCAGAAATGGGTCAGGATCAGAACACTCTTGTGCCCACACTGACAATATTCCTGGCAGAAAGACCTGGAGCCCCCACCACTGTCAGATGCCTGAGGACAACTCTGATCTGCCCCCAAGAGCCCACTGAGGTTGTGGGGCTCCCCACCAGGCAAGAGCAGGGACCCTAAGCGGGGTTGGTGGGCGTGCTCATAACTCGGGCAGACAGCCCAGAATGTTAATCACAGAGGAAGGCAGGAAGGGGAGGTGGCCACTACTTGGGCCAAGCCCCAGAGTGGAGAAATCCTCAGGACTTCCAGTAATCGCAGGCTAGCCACACGCACGCATGCACACACGCAGGCAGCTTGTGCAATCTCATGGGCGGGGGAGGGTACTGCCTTTGCCCTGAGCTCCAGGGACAGCAGCCAAGAGGGAATGGGGCCACAACTCCAACAGACTATGCTAGGCTGCCAGGGAGGGCAAGGGTGTCCCTCTTGGCCCCAGGCAGTCCTGCCCTCCACTTGTCCCTGATGTGGGCACATGGCTTTCTGTTGTTGCCACAAGCCTGGACCCCACTGGTGGCCTAGCTACCTCCTCCCCTGCAGGCCAGCACCAGTCACAACCTGGCTGGAATTGGGTTGTTTGGGCTAATAAACCAAACAACAGACTCTTGGTGACCATGAACAGCAACCTCGTCCCTCACTGAGGCTCCAGGATGTGGCCCATGCCGGGCTCCCCTTGAGGGGCTTATAGCACCTGAGTAAGGCAGTCCCTACTGGTAAGAAAGGTGGGATGTTTATTCACCTAGCGGACAGACCTTTGTGGGGAGAAATGACCTTGAAGTCAGTGGTACCCCTCAAGACGGCCCTTCCCACACCCCAGGGTGCACATTGAGTCTAAGACTACAGTCCTTGGCTGCCAGCTCAGAAAGCAAGTCCACTGGGAAGAGACACAGGGCAGTACACAAGTGACCCCAGGTAGTCCTCAGGTACATTGTGACCTAGGAACCTTCCAGCAGTAAGCTGGACCCCACTGTAGGTGTGCCCTCCCTCTGGCCCCCACGGTGCACAGGCAGCAATTCCTTGTGGTCTTTGGGCCTGCCCCACCCCACCCCCAGTCTATCAGGGACCTGTGGACACCAGGACTCCTAGGTGAACTCAGGCCTCACACTGTTAGCCAAGGTCAGGGATCAGGTTCAGAAAGCTTTTGACTTACAAAGGAGGCTCAGACACAGATGGGGTAGGGGAGATGAGGGGGAAGAGGGGAGGTGTTGGATGGTGTGTGGGTCTGTGCCTTGGGGACCCTGACAGGCATCTCTAAGCAGGGTGTTCAGACCTGGATCTTGAGGGGGAAGGCAGGGAGGGAAGTAATGTAGTTGTGAGACAAGGCAGTCACTGAGCATCTTGAACTGCAGATTAGGGTTAAAAAAAAAAAAAGGTGGGAACCGGGTCCGACAGGGCAGGTAGGGCAAGTAAAATGGTGGAGCTCTTGGAAAACAGTCTGGCAGTTCCTCCAAAAGTTAAACCAAGTTGCCAGTAGACCCAGCAATTCCATCCATAGGCATGTAACCACATCCACACAAAAATGTGTACAGAGATGTCCACAAAGGCTCAATTCATAAGTGCCCAAGGACAAGTGAATGGACACAGGATGCTCCAGCGTACAGTGGAGCATCATTCAGCCACAGGAGTGAGGTTGTGACACAAGCTAAGTATGGAGGGACCCTGTGCTCAGTGGCAGAGGCCAACACAAAAGACCCCACAGTATATGACTTCATTGACAGGAAACATCCAGAACAGGTGAAACCAGATACAAGAAGTGGATTTGTGGGTGTCAGGGGCTGGAGAGGAGATGGTATGACTGCCTGTTGCCCATATACACCCTGTGCACCCTGTGGGCCACATTTACCAGGATAGTACTCACCCTTGGGAAAAGCCCCTTCTTCCTCAAATCCTACCTAACATTCCCTCCAACCCAGCATCTCATGCTTCCTATCTCCCTTGTTGCCTCCGTCTGGAAGTGCTAGGCAAGACCCCCAAACTCAGCCCTCCCTCCAGTCCATCAGGACTCACCACTCCTCCATCTCTCCCAAGGCATCCCCTGACACTGATTTGATTCCCAAGCTCCCTTGTCCCCCTGGAGGGGCAGTTCAGTCTTGTCTACATGCCCCATGGTCCACAGAATAAATTCCAGCAGGGTGCCTGGCAGGATCTCAGAATACAAAGTTGTCACAGGCACCTCTGCCACACAGTCTTGGTCAGGGAGACCCTGCCTCAGCCTCAGAGGTCTGGGCTGACAAAACATGTAGCCCTGTTCTGCAGCCAAGTTTTATTTTTAGGGTGCGCCCAGTGCCAGGAGCAGGAGGTTAGTCATGAGGCTCCCACATAGGGGACAGCGACACTTGGTAATCTCGGCTACTTTGGAGGAATGAGGGACTCCTGAAGTCAAGTTTCCAGAAGTCATTGTAAAAGGGAAAGGTCACGGAATGAGCGGCCAGACAGGACAATGCCTGGAAGGAGAAATGATGGAAGACACCAGTCTAGGAGAAGATAACTCCCACAATGCACCCACTTCTGACCCTGCTGGGGGGGGGGGGTCCATCCTCCTTAACCAACCTCAGCACGGGACTGGATGCCCAGGACAGACCACAGGGTTCCATTCACATCAAGAACCATCAGCCTAGCACATATGAATATAATTAAAAAAAAAAAAAAAAAAGAACCATCAGCCTCTCAAAATTTCTGAACTGGCTGCCTGGACAGGGCCTGAGGTCACCTGGACCCCCAGCTAAGGCAGAAGCCTGTAACTAAAGCTGCCCATGACTGTTGCAGGGCACGGTTACTGCCATCAGGACCCATGTGACAAAGTGCTGTCAGGAACATCATCCAAGAAGGCTAGGTGGAGGAGACAGCCTTCTATGTTAGAAGCAGGAGGAACCACCATAGCAAGACCTTGCACTTCCCTCCTCCCTGGAGCCCAAGCCTGGCCCCTTCTGCAGGTGGGGGCTTTGATATGACAGCACCACATGACCCACATTCTCACACCATCCTCTCCCTGCACAGTAATGACATGGTGCTTTCTGATGACACAGAGGCCCCTTGATGGAGCCCTGACCAGACTCTAAAGCCACACTCAGAAGTTTAAGCCTCTGTAGCAGTAGCAGTCCTAATAACAGACATGTACACAGGCCACTGTCTCCTCCTTGGGGGTCCTCAAGGTCTAGTGATGATCCCTCAGCCACGAGTTACTTCTTTGTGGTCCCCCCAGCAAGGGTGAGGCAGCTCATGTCCTGGGGATGTAGACATGAAGCCACAGCAGCTTAGGGAACATGTCAGGAGATGAATGCAGCATGCACGGCCCCAGGGTTTATCTCTCAGTCATGACCACAACCTGCTGCCTCCACATGAAGCTCCAAGTAGGACATGGCCACCAGGCTCTTAGATTTCCCAAGCCACCAACTAAACAGTTCTGGGATGCCAGTCCCAGGTGGAGCAGGAGGGTTTGATGGATTTCACAAGGCTTGGCCTGTGTGGGGCAGAGAGCCCACAGAACCCAGATGCCTGCCCAGGCCTCAGCCTGAGTGCTTAGAACTGTCCGATGGGGAGGGGCATCTCAGTCTCACTCAGTCCTCAGGGTCCTGACCTGTGGACAGAGCCAGGGGTTGTAGAGCCCTGTCTTCTACTCAGCCACGGGTTTTGTGGAAGCCTCAGGAGATGGAGCCAAACTTAGGGGGTCTCTCCCCAGCGGGGGACTGACAGAGAAGGGATATGAGCTGGGGAAGTGAGAGATTCTTTCGTTCCTACCTCAAGGTGGCCCATCCCAGCCCAGTAGGCCTGGACCTCTGGAGGTGGATGGGAGAGGGCTGAAGTCTGCTGAACTGAGTGACAGGGAGTCACTGGGAACAGGACGGGTGGGGCCCTTTATTGAAAGCGACGCACTTGAGATCCCAGATCCCAGGCTGGTGCTTGCTCTCTGTGCCATTGCACTGTCCCAGCTAGGATGCCCACATGATTTCCTGCTGATTACTGCAGAACTTCGGGCCACAAATGTTCTCACAGATCAGCCCTGAGGCGCCTTCTTGATGTGGGTGCCAGCTCACACCTGGCCAGATCTGAGGTGGATCAGCCCCTTGCCCGGGTCTCTACAAAACCCACATCAGCCATGTCAAGCTGGTCAATATCCCCAAGTCTGCTGAGGGGACCTCCTGCCAGCTCCTCTGCTATGGAAGGCAGCCTCTGCCCATTCTCCACCATATACTTCATTCCCAGACCCCACAAGGATGGCACTGCCCCACCTGTCCCTATTCAGCCTTCATATCCCCTCGGTGGTCTGCCA